CACGGCTGCTATTCGGGATCAGCTGATTAGCTTGAGGGAGACCGATGTAAGTTTTTACGTCAAAATAATAATTATTAATTTTTTAATTCTATTTTTTTTTTATAAATTCATTAGTAATTCTATAATTGTTTTTTTACAGTTTATTTGGGTACCCTATCAGTCGTACATAGACGCTGATCAGCTCCCAGATCAGTGTACACGAGACCGAGGTATCTGGATGTACAGGGGGTTCATCTTCTGTTGGAATATCACAGAACCCCACGAGCCTGATAGGGTGCTCCGCCAGTTTGGGTGCCACCAGCCCATCCCGCAGACGCCACTCATTACGAGTCTGGCCGATTGGGACGACCGCCACAAAGGCCAGGGCATGACTGAGAGGGCATACACCGATTGGGGGGCCTTCCATTCAAATCTTGGGAGGATATGGACTGACGACAGAGATAATCATGTCCTCCCAGATGTACCGGTGGACTCCTTCCTGCAGCCGGCTGATGGGTACATTGAGTGGTATCGCCGTAGGACTGTGAACCTACTCAGTGACCCTAACAAGTACGCGGAGATCGTACGGGACGGGGGGTTTCAGCCAATTGCCGACCGGGAGAAGTGTCTGGTAATTTGTGATTTTATTATTATTATTGTTTTTTTACATGTTCATAACAGTATTTGAATTTTATTTTCAGCATTCGGGTACAGAGATTGCGTATAACACGCTATCCACCATGGAAGACGTGTTTGGTACGCTAGACCCCTCATCGCAGCAAGGGTACGAACAAACCCGGGGTGTTCTCTACGCTTCTCTGACGGTTGGGGGCCAGCCGGTCACACAACAAGGGGCGTCGTCGGGGCAAATTTTATCTCAAGAGGACTACATCCCACCCCAACAGACACTGCCCCAACGGGCGAGGCGTAGACCGGCGGCCAACGTTGGTGGAGGGGGTGGAGGGAGAAGACGCCGTGCAGCCGAACCCGCCACTGCAGCCCCCGGGACTGAAGAAGACGAACAAGGTGAGATTTTTTTTACTTAACTACAAATATGTATTTATTTTCATTTCTTTTTTTTATTTGTTCGGTCGAAGTATTAATTTTTTTCAAAAATTAATTAATTTTGTGAAGAAGACCAAGAGCCAGTCACGCCTGGACAGACCGCAACATCGTCTTCTTCAGTACCACGGCCTCCTCGGAAAGGGTCCCGAGTACGCAAGCCCAGGAATCCTTATACTCCTAGTTAGTTAGTTTTATTTTTTGTATTGGACTTTTAGATATTTAATTTGATGGTTTTGTGTACATATTTCGTGGTTCATTTTTTTTTATCGTTAATTATGCTTCACTTTTTTGTACTAGATTATTAGTTGACGAATGAATTGATATTAAAGTGATACTGTTTCGTGTTAAAAATGTTAGATCAAAATTTATAAAAAATCTTCATATTGAAAGATAACAATATAAATTCAGCCAAAATAAACGCGTTCGGTAGTAGGAAGCTCGTGAGCATCCAAGAGTCGAGCCCTAACTCAAAATAAATAAATAAATAAACAAAACCAAAAAATTAAATTTTATTATATAACAATCTCAGTCAATTATAAAATATATGTATATAGTATATATTAAAAAAAACTATATACTATAAAAAATATTTATATTCAAAAAAAAAATGAATAAATAATTAAACACGTATTATCATAATTCGTGTTTTACGAAACACGTATTATCAGAATTCGTGTTTATTTTAATATAAAAAAAATGAATAAATAATTAAACACGTATTATCATAATTCGTGTTTTACGAAACACGTATTCTCAGAATTCGTGTTCCGTTTAATTAATTAGCTTAATTACGAGATTAAGTGAACGCGTATTTTGGTAATCCGTGTTCCGTTCATAATTAAATGAACACGGATTTTTGGAATCCGTGTTCGTAGTAAAATTACACATACACGGATTTTCAAAATACGTGTTTCTTTAAAACACGGATTGTGAGAATCCGTCCGTTTTATTTTTGTCCACAATTTTTTTTTTGTTTTATTTTAGTCCACTTATTTTTTATTTTTTTTAAATAAATAA